ATCGGCAATCAGTTGCATCATCACGCCGTTAAACAATATAGACATTCTGATCGATCGCTCGATATCTCAGATAAATAGTTACAAAGCTTGACAGAACATGGTGTCAATAACATTGGCAATCATGTGTGAAGATTGTGTAAACATTGCAATTTATTCTACTAGGTAGGTACGTAATGGGCTCGCTGCCATTGCAGCGGTAAGTCCCCTCTTTGAGGAGTGGCTTGAGAGACGCTACGGCGTCCTCACCTACCGCCTGACGCAGGTCCTCACCGGACATGGAAGTTTCGGGAGGTACCTGTGTCTGATGGGGCGGGAGGAAACGCCCGGGTGTCATCACTGCGAGGACCGCCCTGAGGACACGGTGGAACACACCGTAGCGGAATGCCCTGCGTGGGCTGAGCACCGCCGTGCCCTCAGGGAAGTGATCGGCGATGGCGACCTCTCGCGTCCGGGCCTAGTGCAGGCCATGATGCGGAGCGAGGGGGACTGGGATGCCGTCTCCTCCTTTTGCGAAGCAGTCATGCTAGCTAAGGAGGAGGCGGGACGCGTGAGGCAGCGGAGCGCTGCCTCCTCGCAACCCAGCCATCGCGAAGGACACACCGGGCGTCGGGGATCGCGGGACGATCTCCGGCCACCGTAAGCGCGGGCCTGCGGACGGCGAGCATGGGTGGCTCCCCGTCCGACCAGAAACAGACCCGAGCGTGCGGCGCGTCGCGTTCCGCGCGCGCCTCAAAGGGCCATCAGACCACCACAGATGGGGCCCAATAGGGCCGATGCCGATTCGGAGTCGCGGAGAACCTAACGGGTAACCGGGGCTCCGGCTCGACGTGCAGGAGAAGGAACGGGGTGGTTTTTAGTCAGTAAGAGTCTGACACTCCCTTCCGCCTCACTCAGGCGGGAGCAGTCATTCGATGATTTTCCCCCCTTAAAAAAAAAAAAAAAAAAAAGGTAGGTACGTAAGTATCACAAATTAGGTCAATGTTTGGAACAAATCTGTGCCTTTAGCTTTAGCTTTAGCACTTGTCTACAAAAAGAGTAGAAATCAAAATGTATGGGGATGACACTGACAAATGTCAAAATTTACGTCAATTCCATATAATTTGGTTTTCTACTCTATAAATAGACAAGCGCTAAATGGCATTTGGCTACAGCTGCTGATTTAATAACATATTTATTTTTTGTTTATCCTTTTGAAGGCATCAATATCGCTGGAACCATTAGTTCTATTGATAAATTCGTTTTAAATCTCATACTTTTTCATCACCATATTATGTATGACATTATTATGAAAATGTAAAAAGTATAAACCAACGGGAATAAAGATGTCACAGATACAACCACCTTTTGTTAATTAAATCAATAAAACACAATTTAATACTAAAGGAAATATTCGAAACACCCAACACGTTACCTCACTGAAAACAGTGATAAAACAAACAAATAAAATCTAGGTATTCCAAGTTAGCACTGAATTGCCTGAATGTCTGATAAATTGATTCTTTACACTGCAATACTGTTTGCCACGCTGATCTAAGCTAGCCTGGCGAATTGCCCTGGCGAAATAAATATATTTATTGACTACTGTATACTAAGTTAATCCTGAAATTCAATCAAGACTTAAACAAAGTAATTGTTACGTAGGGCTTTTACGATTGAATGGATAATGAAATCGTGTCTGAATATCTATTGTATTTGCTCTACAATAAAATATCAACACAACTGTTATTATGTATAGCGAATAATAGGTACTTAAATGTATTTTGAATTCATTTAACCGAATTTTTTTGCAAAACTATCAAAGAAGTATTTTGTTCAGACAGTTACTTATAAAACAGCTACTTCATAATCGAAACACCTGAATAATTTAATTACCATGACTAATTGAATCATACCGATATTGGAAACCGTACGAATTCACGGGAAATATATGTATAAGTTACGAACATATTCATAACTAAAGATCGCCTTTTAATCTTCGAAAGCGTAGGCAGAACCATAGGTATATAGGTATTTTTTCATGTAATAGTTTTCTCCAGTTTTAAAAAGGGGCGAATTTATTCTCAATGTTTCATAAACTGAGCGCAGTTTTAGGCGTTGTACTACTACTAAAAAATCTGAGCATTTAGAAGCCTTCATGACCCAAAAAAGAATTATTTAGTTCCTACTCGAACCCAAGTTCGCCTCTACTCGACTTATTCTACTGTCACCTTTTATCTTCAACCACATAACCATATGAAGCAATCAATTCGCGAATATGAAGAGTACACATTTCTTCAAAGCGCTTTTACGTAACCATGGTAATGAAAAGGATTGTACTGTGCTCGGAATGTTATTAATCGATTAGTCTCAGTAACCGATACACGTGGCCTTATCGATTCTATCGGTAATCGATTGATATCGTTAAAGTAACATTCGCTTTCCAATGTCGAGGAAACATTATTATTTTCAGTTTGCAATTATATATGTGCACCTATTGTTATAAGTAAGTTATAAATTATGTCTAAGCTGTTGATCATAAAGTCTATTTCGGCCATTCTGAGTGTAAACAGACTCCAGCAATAATAATTGCAGTTAGTTCCTCCAAATGTCAATTAAACTCGACCTAATGTTACCAAACATCCATTTTGATAATAATACCAACCCCTAACGCCACCTGTTCACCAACTGACATCAATGACGTCACATGTCATAGGAAAAAAACACCACAAGGATAAAAAACATACTTGCTTCCTACGATTAATCACATGTCATCTACTTAAATATTAAACATTCTTCTTTTTCATAAAGTAAGGAAAAAATACATTGAATAATTCTTCAGAAAAAGTTTGCAACAGATAATACGTCTACTAAGCCCATAGCTGGAGCAAAATGCAGAAATATTAATTCATGTAAAAATGTGCGTCAAGTTACGTGTGTTTTGTAGCAACTTACATAGCTTATGATATCTTCCTCAATCTTTTACGTATTAGCAATTTCCTAAGATTAGCAATTAGTAGTTAAATAGCTACATATGTATATGTAAGATGGAGAGCCAGTCCACTAGAACGTGTGCTGCCACCCTTTCTCTTCCTAGACCTGCATAATGGGGCTCATTAGTCATTAGTGTTTGTAGGAATGTGTAAATATAATGTAACCTGCTTCAGAGATAAGAACCAATAAAATTAAATATTTATATGCCTGTTTATGAACTTCGGTGACATTTGACGTTATTTTAGATGACACATAACAGTACAAATAAGGGGTTAATTTAGGGACTACGTCGCGCTAACTAAATTTTAGTTAATGTATTAAGGTTGGCTGGTGAAAGTGGCTATTACTCAATAAAGGTATTAAAATATCGTTAAGTGTATACTGCCTTAAGACTTATGATAATAATTTATTATCTACTCGATGACCCGGTGAACATTTTACAGCGTCAGGTTCAAAAGTAGGTATTGTGTTTCTTGACAACTGCAACAATTTAACAGGTACACTAATTAAATGTTTAATGGATCAGTTTAAACGTTTTTAAATTAATAACGGTGTAATTTAACCTTAATCGAGTACCAAAATGATTTCATTTTATATCTCTATCAACATGTATTATTATTTAAATTTACTTATACCAAAAAAACTTAGATTAGCAAGGATTAAAACCACTCATCACTCAACTTCACATCGTGTTAAACATCACATCGCCATCTTTTTACCACCAATAACATCAGAATTTTTTACTTCACTAAGATGTGTTTTACTTATCGTGTTTCTGACCCCTTCTGATTACGTATGAGAAATAAATAAATGACGCAAATAACAAATGATATAAAAACTATTCTATTAGGTACTAACAACATGCTCGGCTTTCTTCTTCTATAGAAAACAAACACAGAATAAAAAATAAAGTGAGAAAATAAGTCCAGCCACCATTGACGCTTTACCGTGACTGCGAAAAAGTTGAAGACAGCTGAATTTTTGACGTAAGTAGGTACAGATTCCTTAGATGTATGCATAAACTAAGAGAGAGATTTTCAAAAGGCCTTCTAGAATGGAAAACCAAAATTTTAAACGCATTGTCACGTGTAAAAGGTGGTTTGATATAAAATTGAAAATTTCGCTTACGTCGAGTGGTCACGTGCGGTGGCACTCGAGCGCGCCACCTTTGACTGCAGCGCTGAGTCGGAAGGTCACGGCGAATAAATAATTACATGCAAATATACCTACCTGCTGAGGAAATTGAAAATGTAACCAAGCTTGGTAGTTGCATATATTTCATGGAGATCCCTTTAGGTTACTATAAATGTGATAGAACATCTGAAACTTTGCATACATCTTATGTTATGATTTTTCTTCAAGATTTTGACTTTTCTAAGACAAAATTTAAGATGGGCAGGATGTTCTTTGAAAGTTAATGAATAATATAAATTAATTTATTCATTAATTCTTCCTATAATTTTTTTAATACGTCTTAAAGATTATCAAAAATAAAAATGTAGTCCAATTACGAGCATAATTGCGATCACTGATCTTAATACATATTCTGACACGCGTCTTACGTGAAAACCGCGCCGGCGCCGGCCGGTTTCATCGATCGTATTAACTTTACCAGGGATTAAACTCGGATTAACGGGCGGACAGCTTGTCGTACGTACACCCTTTTTAGTTTCATTTTTGGATAGAAATTATAGTATGAAATGTAATATTATGGAGTTTTAGACTGTAATGTTTTTAGTCCTTAGTCATGAAAGTATGTACATTGTAATTACGTTGACGGTACAAAGGTACCTATCTTCGTTATCAGTAGTTAGTAGCTAGACTCATTTGACAAGGAAAGCCACGAACAAACACAAGCCTCGCACAATGATGTAACACATTCGCGTGTCATTGAAGAAAATTACTTCAAAATTTTAAACCTGTTTTATTATTAAAATCATTTAATTTATACAGAAATGTTCAAAATGTTCTCCTTGATTGACACTTACGTAGAAATTGGCTATTGTTAGATTTATATGACGTCAAACAGTGGCAGAATTATTTATAACATTAACAATTACACATTTCCAGCTGTCATAATAGTCACGATAGTGTCAAAATAACATTCAAATTATTAATGTGCAAATGGAGATTTCATAAAGAAAATTGTTTAAAATTAACAAACACTTCCATAGGTAACAGAATTATAAAACATAAATATTTTATCATAGTGCTTACAAAACTTGAGAAGTTTCAAAACGGGTCAGCTAATGAAGCGTCTAATCTAATAATTGCCTAAGTTACATGAATAATCGGATAGTAAGCCAAAACACGTCTAATTGTCGTGATTACGTTACTAGTAATTATAAGTTTTAATCTTCAGGTTAACAGTGTGGTGTCACCGCGTCGGTTTCTATAGTTAGCGCGCACGCATTGAGTTAGTCGTCTCTGCACGCGACGCTCGCATCCACCGTCTGCGCGCTCCGAATTTTTCGCGCCGCCGCGAAATCCGTTTCCCGATACTAAACCTCTTTTCTCCGCAGTTTTTTAGTCTGTATTAAAAAAGTAGCTGTCAAACTTTTACCGCGAATTTTGTGGAGTGAAGTGATACTGTAACAGTGTATACAAAGTGAGTTTTAATTGCTGACGTCGTGTATGAGTTTGCATATTTGAACAGGTGATGATAAGGCTATATTTCTGTTGCGGCTAATAGTGTTTTGAAGTCGTAACTATGATTATTTATTAATTTATTATGATCGAAATTTTATTACCATCTGGGCTATAAGGGAACTTAAGCCTAAGTTTTCCTATGACAGGCAACTAAGCGAACATTTTACTTTGTAAGTAATTCATGATCTTCTTTTATAGCGAATTCAATATTTTACTCTAAACTTATGGTCATGTCCTTGTGATTTCACCACATTTGAATATAATACATAACAATAACTGCCGAATCTTGTGTACGGTTCACTGATAATATTGTTTATCTCATTCTTATCAGTATAAAATTAAACCAAAAACTTTTATCTCGTCTTCTATATAAGTAACTACGAACTGAGAGGAATTTTCACAGATTTTCATAGAAAAAGTGAATTATTTCATATTGTCTTAATTTATTTTTCGTTTTAAATTCAAAAAAGCTCATTAAATTCTCCTTGAAGCCATTTTTTATAAATTGCAAGCAATTATGATTTATGCAAAAACATTCACATTCAAGGTAATAAAATTTTCTGAAAATGTATAACTTGAAAATCCTTGAGTACTTATTATAATTATGAATCATAGAAAATACTACGAATTGGAAGTATAAGTATAAGTATTGGTGTTGCTTGTAACTGGCTATTAAACCCTTGTATGGTATACGGAAATTAGGATGACATAAAACCGCTTAAACGTATTTCAAAATATTTTACTTATTTACCTACATGAAACCTCTAGGGTGACTAAAATCATAGAAGTATACCAAAAATAGAATTCATTATTTTTAATAGGTACATGAACTAGGTAATGAATACATACAAATAATGATGATTGAACCGTTAAAAACTTTAACTATACCTTGAACAATGAAGTCAAAGTTAAAAATTATTTATTTCAATTATCATCATCATCAACAGCCTATAAATGCCCACTGCTGAGCAAAGCCTCTTCTCACACGGAGAAGGTTAGAGCATTAATCACCACGCTTGCTCAATGCGGGTTGGCGATTTCAAACTTATAATTAGAAATTATAAGTCCAGGTTTCCTCACGATGTTTTTCCTTCACCGTTTATCAGTGGTGTCTAAATAATCTTAGAAAGTACATATAACTCGGAAAAAGTCACATTGGTACTTGCCGTTGGTAGGTTTCGAACCCGCACCAACATGCATGAGAAGTGGGCGTCTTAAACCTCCGGGCCACCACGACTATTTCAATTAAATTTAATTTAATTAAATTAAATTCAAGAACGTCACCAAAAAAATTAAAGTGAAGCTATTTGTATATATTTTTATTTTTTATTCAATACCAACATTATGAGATCACTGTGATCCCCACAATTCTACGTGATCTTAAATCAGGAAAATAAAAGCTTAATCAAGGAAAAATCAAAGGTTTTGTACCCAATGACCGTCACAACCGGTTAGACATTGAGTAGTTTTCCTTTTAAATCAACCAAATAAAGGCTTTAACTTAAAATTACATAAATTATAAATATAATATATACCATTTTCTAACACAACTATATTAAATATATTTTACCTAGACACCTTTTCATTCGTCCATTAAAATAGATATAAATACTCTAACAATTCCATTCACAACAATATTAAACAGCAATTAACTACAAGTTACTCTTATCACGCTGATAACACAACAACTATGATAAAATATGTATTGAGTGCTCATCCGTAATCTACTACGTATGCACAAGTAGTGGGTATGCACACTACGCACGCTCTGATTGCGACCAATCACAATCATTTTCATAAAAATGTACTGTTGCCCGATTGATGACCAACGGAGATGGAAAATGATATTGGGATTTTACGGTATAGTAAATCTTGACAAGACAAGTATTAATGCGAGTTAATTTTCACGTGCACGCATTGTGACGTGGGAAATAAATAAGAGCCATAAAGCTATAACTAACTATCTGATAGGCATACAGTATAGTTAAACACTATAATGGTTAATTTGTTTCATCATCTTGTAGTCTATTAAAAAGCTCCTGTGTACAGTTTTACTGAATGGAATCACGCATGACCAGTCCCATCTATAATCGAATACTAGGTAATAATTACAACCACTACCTACTACTAAGTAGGTACTATTAGCATCCCGTATCGTATATAGTAATTTCATAGTACCCAGTTATCGGTACTTCCAACCTGACTATGTGTCACTTGCGCAGCTGTTAGCAACCTACTAGTTTAAGCAGTGTAATATCGCCATTATCTATTTGTCGATAATAAATTCTGTTATAATATGTAACGGAACTATAATAGTGAAGTTTGTCATGTGTTAGTGCGACTGGCTACTAAAAGGTCTCGCTTTCGATTAAGACTTGCCATTTTAACAAAACATGATGATAGGAATTATGACACCGGGCCCGATGTAGCAGATTGGCGACTTATTAAAGAAGGGCCAAATTAAAAGTACCCATAACCGACGAGCATGCATGAATATATTGATGAATGTTGATGAAGGGAAAGAGGTATGTAGGAGTCGTAGTAATTGGCGTTCTATAGTCTCTGTCTACCCCCCATGGGAGACAGGCGTGAAGTTATGTATGTATGCCCGATGTATGGCAATTGGAAACTAATTTATTCCTATTGTTGGTTGTCACTCTTTCAGTCTTGCTATTTTATAAAAGAAAATAAGTTTTGAATACAAAGTAAACTGTTATTAACATATGTTAAACACATGCGCTGCAGTACCTACCTGCACCTATCTTTAGTACCTAGTTGCACACACATTGAGCACTTAACCTAGACCAGTTATAAATACTGACTTGACCTTTTCAACCCTTTTATAAAAGCGTAATGATAATGATCATATACACACATCTTTGTTGAATCTTCACCTTAAGCTAGGTACGTAGTATCTTTGAATAAGGCTTTTTTGGTACAATTATCTGAAACGAAGGTATAGGCAGGAATTTTTAGGCCATTATTGATGTAGAGGTATTAGATAACATTAACACGTGCAACAAGATCGTTATATCTTTTTTACGGGATAAGCCGGTGAACGAGCAGTCGGATCACCTGATGGTAAGCAATCGGCATTGCCCATGGACACCCGGAACACCAAACACCGCGTTACAAGTGCGTTACTGATTTTTAGGGGATTAGGTATTGAGAATTGTTGGGAATTCAGGAATTGCGGAGATTGACGCTAGAAGCCGAAGCGTAGTAATATAGCACGTTATAAATATGAACGTCTGCAGTTTCACCAATTTATTTAATACTTAAGTACCTAAATATTAAGGGTCAAATAGCCTTTAAACTGTCAAACACCGCGAGGACACCGGTGACCGCAACCTATTGTTCTATAATTGTGTCTATAATGACAGTACTCAAAGGGTTAAAATAATACAGACGTAGGTATCTATATTAACAGGAAAATATTATTGAAACCTCACTAATGAGACAAAAAGTTTAAAAGACAAAAACTCGAATAATCTTAATGAGCAAAACAAGATTGGTTTATGTAGACAAACAAGATTTTATAATCATTTCAATGGTAGACGTGTATACTTACAATAAATAAAAAATTGTAATGATGGTGTTTTTGTCATTACCAAGTAAGTTTGTATCTACTGCTCAAAATAAGGGTCGGAGTCAATGGCAAAATTTTTGATTATTGTATAGTATGGTTATTTTCGATTGCACAAATTGTGCATGAAGGACTTTCATTGAGTTCAGAGTATGAAAATAAAAAATAATAATTTCGAATTTTTCAGTAAATAGCAACAAGATTTAAAATAATAATTAATCATCAAAAAAATTAAAGAAATCAGACATACCTACTAAGTCAATTCAAAATCGCGTGTTACTCTTGTGAATATACTGAGAAAAGCTCTACTAGTTTCGAGTCACAGAGGGGCTCTTTCTCATGAGCAGCGAGCGCGGTCGCGGCGATCAGTAGACATCGACATTTTCTTCTCAATAACCTAGAGATGATGATAATCCCCCCTCCCCACCATATGTGATAATTAAGGTACTGATTAATGAGTACCTAATACAGATACTAATACTATAATTAACTTCTCATTGTCCTTAGCTTGTAACAAGCGGAAGTTGTAGTATTGTAATTACTTATTACTTAGCATCGTGACATTACTCTTGAATCTTGTATTCTCGAAAAGGCTGCCTCTTTGGCCACGCCTTTTATCCCTGAAGGGGTAGGTAGAGGTGCACATAGAAGAACACCCCACTTTTCACTATTTATGTTATGAGTCCCATGTAATAGGGGGTGAGCCTATTGCCATATACCGGGCACATTTCCAGACTCCGTGCTACTACTGAGATTTTTAAAAAACCCAGTAATACTTTGCCCGACCCGGGAATCGAACCTGAGACCCCTTGCCCGGCAGTCGCACTTGCGACCACTCGGCCAATGAGGCAGTCAGGCAGGTAGGCAGGTATACTATCTACTTGTAAAAATAATATTTTGACATATAAAACGATTATAATAAGAACGAGGTGCCGCGATAATTAATTGATTGTATTAAGTATTTAGTTTCTGTTTCAATTAATAAATGCAAATATATTAGTTTCGTCTAGGAATTACATCAGAGTATCGTTTGCTTCTCAGACGCGCGTTTTACAAATGATATAGTCGATTGAGGAAATAGATTTGTGTAGATTAGATCGGTAGAAACATGGGACAAATAGAGATGTAGATAATGTACTAGGTTATCTAGCTTTCCTGATGTTACATCTTCGTGGTATATTCCTAAACGACTCGTTGGTCGAGTGGTCGCAAGCGCGACTGTCGGGCAAGGGGTCTCGGGTTCGATTCCCGGGTCAGGCAATGTATTACTAGGTTTTTAAAATATTCTCAGTAGTAGTACGGAGTTTGGAATTGTGCCCGGTATATGGCAATAGGCTCACCCCCTATTACATGAGAGTCATAACATAAATAGTGAAAAGTGGATGTTACATTGTACAGTGGCATTAAGTGCCGTAATGTGC